TGAAAACAGCAGCATGTGTCAGATCCTCTGAGGAGACTGATTACAGTAGTTACTTCTTTCACCTGACTGCGAAGTGTTATACCAAGATCGCACAAGCAAAGAGATTCACATAATGTTCTCCAAATTCCTTCTATGTAATTGGCGTCTCAACATCCGTGTTACTTACAGTCGGTAAATCAGTTACCCGTGCATCTGTGGCTTGTTTTCTGAGTGCCATCTCTGGGGCAGAGATGCTAATCACTGAGCTGCAGGAAGATAAAGGCATACCTGTTGTTGCTATCCTTTGCTTTCTTAGCTGATGTAAGAGTCATAGTAGTTTCATGTCCTGCACAACTGGTCCAGTTTTTAAAATGTTTAAATGTAATTATACAGTGAAGACAAACACCTAGAGGAGAAACCATTCTGGCTCTTTATCTGTAATCTCAGAGTTGTGACTTCAAGAGTCTCAGGTTGTTCGCTCGTGTCTGCTTTTCGCTGTTCTCAGCTTCATGGTATGACCAGGAAATTAAATCGTTTTCAACCCTTCAAAAGATCAGCGATGAGATTTCTTAACATTTTGCTTTTTTTATTCCTCTGCTGGAGGTTTTGCGTAATATTATTATGTCTTCTAAAACATCTTAGAAAATCCTAAAAAAGGCCGCAGTGAAACAACGAGTTTTAATAAGGTGTCTGGACTGACAGAATACACTAACACATGTTAGAGTACGATTAAATTGGCACTATAAACTGTAAGCACTGAAACAGACAGGGCAAGTTAATTTACAAGGTACCTTTCATACAAAAAGGCAGACAATTTTAGTTATGTAGCGCCAAGTTGCCTCAAGGCGCTTTATATTGTAAGGCAAAGACCGTACAATAATACAGACAAAACAGAGAAAATCCTAACAATCATATGGCACCCCGTGAGTAAGTGCTTTGGTGAGTGTGGGAAGAAAAAACTCCCTTTTAACAGGAAGAAACCTCCAGCAGAACCAGGCTCAGGAAGGGACAGCCATCTGCCGGGACCAGTTGGAGAATCATATATCAAATTTTCTTTTCTTTCAAATGTAAAATGATCATTTTTACTTGCTTGAACAATAAGCATTGATAACATTTCCCTGTTTGTTTCAGATCTCCACTCTCCAGGACACACCAGAATTACTGGGCTTCCTGAGGAACACCAGCAGTCCTCCTCACCGCCACAAACGATCTATCAGCACCGCTCAGGATTACAGCAATAAAACCTTGGTGAGCCAACTGTAAAGTCTCTAAAGAAAACAAACTAAGCCAAATGTTCATTAGCCATTCACAGGTGTTTGATATATTTCTTCTCCCTCCACCAACCCTCTCCTTATGCAGAACTGCACTAATGTCTCCTGTCTGAAGATAATGTGTGTGGTCGGCCGGTTGGATCGCGGGCAGAGTGCTGTGGTAAAGATCCGATCGCGACTCTGGGCGCACACTTTCCTGCAGGTCAGTTGATTTTTTTGTGTTAACTTTTTGTTTTACTTTAATCGCTCAACTCACTCAGCAGGAAGGTCTGATATGTAACACGCCACCTTTAAAATAATAACTTTTTTATCTTAAAGCGGCGTAATGACCCCTACATTCTCAACTCTACCGTGTCCTTTGCGGTCACATCGATGCCTTATCGCATCCAACCCGCCACGCTGCCTCAGCACAGAAGCGCGGTATGATAAAAAGCAATAAAAATGAGTCTTTATGCCAAGCTTCGAGAAATAAGGAAAAATTTATAGACAGTTTTTTTTCCCTGCAGATGGGGACTCTGGTGTTATGGGGGACTCCTGATGTATCATTCGCTGTTCCACTCTGGGTCATCATCTTGGCCATATTGCTGGGGCTGCTGGTCCTGGCCATCCTGACATTAGCCATGTGGAAGGTACATACATCATCCACTATCCTCAGAACTCCTTGTGGTAGTTTAATTATTAAAAACTCTACTAACTGGCTAATGTGATTCCCTCAGTGTGGTTTCTTTGACCGGGCGCGGCCACCTGCCGATGATGACATCTCTGACCAGGAGAAACTGACGTCTGATCAAACAGGTGATGCATAAGACGTGACAGCTGCTGGTTGTAAGACAGCGGTTTAGGAGGGATGCGCACCTTCTGAATGACTTAAATCAGATCTGGGATCTGTATTAGTCGGGACCGACATTCCTTGGCTCGAGGTCTCTCTGTGAATCAACCGAACTGAAAGGACAAACCGAAAACTGCAGCTCCACACAGACTGGGACCAAAGCAAAGTTGGACCAGCACACTTAACAAGCTCCATCACACACACATGTCTTTTGTTTATAGATTGCGATGAAGCACCAGAACTGAAGACAGACTGGACTTTGTTACCAAAACAATGCTTTAAATGTGTTACTGCACATTTTTGTTTGAGTAACAGAGAAAGAGACTTTAGATCTATGCACAAGTGCTGTTGTGAGTGTGTGTATGTGTAAGTCGGTGTGTGTGCAGGTACTGTACATACGTGTCTAATAGGTGTCACTTGTGTCATTCAGTTATTGATGTCTATCACCACCAGATTTAATTTATCCAAGTTCACACCCACACACACATGAGATGCAGCCACATGCATAAACAGAAAAGGCACAAAGTTGAATTGTATATTTATGAATGTATGTGCAATAATTTGAGAGTTGTGTGATACTTAAGCTTGTTTACACTGGCATTATTTTTATTAGAGCTTAACGTTTCCATTGTTTGTGTGCATACTGTAATTGATTAATTGTGATATTATTGTTGCTGAATGGAGCGTTTCTTTAGACTGATTTAAGCCAACACGTAACAATCAAAAAGAGAGGAACAAAGCGATACCAGTAAGAACAAAATAACTTATTATTTTCTTATAGTGAGTATAGAATTTATCTTCGAGGAACAGGCCGCATATTCACGGCTGAAGCGCTGTCCTGATAATTAAAGTTTTGTCTGTCATGTTGGATGTTTAAAAAAAAAATAGCGGTCGACAAGACTTCAAAAACTTGCTGCAAAGCCACAGTCCGTATCAGAAACGCAACGCAGTCCGAGACAGAGATGGTGTACATTACTGCGTGCACTGTGTATTACTTAACAGTACATTTAATGTTTGTTAATTATCTGTATCCTGCACAGACATGGAGAACAAAGCAGTGAGAACATCAGCATTTCCCTCAATTAAAAACTAAAAGTTAACGTGTACGTTTGAGCTGCTTCCGATTTTTGTATCGCCTGGGAAGTTTTATTAGAATAAAGTGTTGCTTGATTACTGATTGATTGCTGAACTTCACATTGCCGTGTCTGCTTACAAGTTAAAGAAATAGTAAATGTATTTTCTGCAAAGTGCACAGAAAACCAGTAAAGAACTTTTTGTACATGATAGACTGTGTACAATAGCTTTGTGCCTTGTCAGAGGAGCAAGGTTAACGAGTTCATTTTCCAATATGACAGCCTCTGCAGTTCTTTACAAAGTTTTAAAGAAGTTTTGCACCCAAGGATAATAAATAAATTGGGTATTTCAGTCTGTGTTTAAGTCTACTGTCTCCAAATCAGAGGAAGGACTCTTGCTCCCCCAGGTGGTGGAGTGTAGAAGTGTCTGTGCAAAGAAACTATGTTATCTAAGGAAACACAGTGCCATCTCGTGCCGTGCATTTGCCATACACTTTCTGCATAGAGGATAATGATGGCATGTAAAGGGCTTTATAGTTCATCCATCCATTTTTTTAATACTCCGTTTATCCAATTCAACAGGGCGCATATAGACATTTGTTCTCACTCACGTTAACACCTACTATCAGTTTAGAATTGCTAATTAACCAAATGCATGCAAGTCTTTGGTCTGTGGGAGGAAGCCAGAGTACCTTAAGACAGCCCACAAAAGTGCGGGGAGAACATGCAAGCAACTCCCTCTTTATAGTTAATTTACAGTTATTTACAACACTCTGTGTCAGAGGTGTCCAACATAAGGTCCAGGGGCCTGCGGGGTGGCTTTGGTAAAAGTGGAGGAAGGCATAAACTTTGGATATTTAAATGTATTTTCATACATTTTGCATCGTCCTTTCTGAAGACCTCACCTATGGCCTCTCATACTGAACCAAGTAAATAAGTAATAAATAAACAATTAAATTATAGAAAGTTTCTGTTTTGTTCCTTTATCTAATATAGAAATGTGTGTTTTTACAGTGGCTTTAAAAAAATAAATTTCTGTCATTTTCCATGTTTATTTCTTACAGTTTAAGGCCAAAAAGCCGTACTGAGAGACTTCTTTCATTTACTACAGCAGCATTTCTTTATCACGTAGAAAGATAAAGATTTAAGTGGGTGTGGCTAAGAATGTAAAACTAGTTTGATGTACAGACACTCTGTATACAGTTTATTTTTCCAAAGCTGATTTCTTCATTGAAGTTCCTTACCTTGAAGAGGAAAACATCTGTTGAGAGTAGCGTTGCTCCTTGGAGTTTCTCCATTAAGGAGCAGCTATTTCAAATTTAATACACACTACAAGTTCTCGGTTTTCAGGACACGAAGATGTTCCTGATAAAATATCCTGCAAGAGGTAAATCTGCTCATTTAATATGAATGTGTGCATGTTCTCAATATGAACTGAGACTTAATGGGCACCACACTAAACCCACACTATTTAGTGTTTTATGAGAAAGAAACGAAATGGGATTGTGTTATTTAGCAAAGATTTCGGCAATCACAATCTTCAAAGAGCTTCTCTGCAGCGCTGTGACTGCTATTCAGAATACGAAAGATCGTTGTCAGAAATATCAAAGCAGGAGAGTGGAAGCGAAGGCGTTATCGGATATCTCTCGAGTGGAAACATTTATCATATTCTCACAGATGGTAAGCCTCATTTGAACATGAAAACACAGCTGACGGACCCTTTCCTTCTACCTCTGTCACTCACAAACACAAAAACACCCCCTCCCCACCTTCACCCTTACAATACGGTAAGCAAGGACATCTTGTGGAAAGGAAACATGAAAAGACACGTGCTGCATTTATTCTTTATCATCTCTTTATTTCTTTGAATATATTTGATCAAATGTAAAATCAAACATTTGGAGTAAAGATTTAACAGTTTTCTGACTAGCAAATATCAACACCATCAAAATAAAGGAACATTATTGATACTTACTACATAATGTACGCATATAGGACATACTCTATCTTAGCTAAGATTTATCCAAACAGACCCAAATTACAAAAAAAAATTTTTTTTTATTTTTTTATTTTAGTCTTTGACTCCCGTTATTTCCTGGGTTTTTGAGCTGGTGCAAAAAGAAAATATCTTAGGTGAAGCGGTATCTTGTATCCTTGTCAAATAAATGATGAAGTATTTATAGAAATAAAATGTCACTTTAAAGGTCTGTACATGGGGATCAGTGTTTTTCCTCTCCACTGGCAACAAGGTCATACCAACGTTAGAATGGAAGACTTTGGCTATTTACAAATCGCTGAGATGTTGTACAGGTAGCGTACAATTCCTCCCAGACATGCTGTACATTACTTGTGTTTATCAGTTACGCTTTCACCCCTCCCCACGCACACACACACGCGCACACACACACCTATATGTCAAAGTGCAATTCCATAGATCACCACAATGCAGCACCTATATGCCATATTCAACATTGTACAGAACAGCTGTGAAAATTACATATTCTAAGGGGCCCATCTTTAGAATATAAATTAGAGTTAAAGGGGTTGGATCTATATTATTACTAAACCTTTCCAACAGTGTGATATAGACCTACTTCACAGCAGCCATTCTGGCATGAATTAGCTGGAAAACGCAGGAGTTATTATTGACATTATTGAACCATCTGTTCTGTTTAGGTGCGGCGTTATAATTCATGTGATTTCTGCGTTTACGTGTCATTTTGTGTCATAATGGCTGCTGTGGGGGGAAACCAATGGTCTTGAACTTGCAGTAAAGCGCTTACACGTGTGGTTACAAGTGCAGACCAACCTTTCAAGTACAAACTCCGCCCCCGTTAGTGTGGTGATGTCCACCTTTATTTACCTTTATTAATACACACCATTTAATTCACAGCACGCACAGCTGAGTAGAGGACTGACTAACAACAATAACTGTGTGACTCTGCAGGGCTTTTGACGTTAAGACTGGTAACATGTTTCTCTTATTGTCAACAAAAACACGTGAAAAAAACATGACAATTCGTAATCAAAGGAAATCGTGACTAACATTCAAAAGTGGAGCTTCATAGCATGGGTTTCCGTGGCCGAGCAGCTCCTGTAGGTCCAATGTGCAGTGGTCTGGTACTTTTGTCCATATGGTTCAGTTCCTAATTTATGTCCAATGAAATATAAACTATGATTTAGCTTTAACACCAACTATTCAGTAGAAATGAGTATAGTTTGATGCCACAGACAGGGGGCAGCGAAGAGATTTGTTGACAATAAGAAAAAGTTTAAAAAAAAAACTTTTTTCCTTTAAACATTAACTTGACATTTCAAATATGTTTTTCCTGTGTCATGGAGTCCTTACAGTTGAAAAATAATTTGCTTTAGGAAAATACAAACATGGGCCAGGCTAGGAAAAGGAAATGGATCAAACAGGAGCTCTGCTTTGTAACAGTGAGTAGGATATAAGACCACGTAGCTTTGGAGAACAGTCACTGGGCAGTGTTTAGCCTGAGCAGTCAAACACAAACAGAACAGTCTGGTTACTTGGGTTTACAATAAACCCCTTTTAGGAGTTCAATGGCTATTATGAGAAACTGCAGTCCATATTCACACATACTGTAACGTTGCAGTGTGCAAATCAAACTACGTCTGAGGAGGCCCTAATTATGAAGATGTATAGCACATTCATTGACATTTGATCAATACCAGAAGTGACGGAAACGATAGGACCACTTGGTTTTGGTGCATTAATGGAATGATTGAAGAAGGAGGTGCCGTGGCACATACAGTACATAGGCTACATAAGGGTTAAATACACACTGTACACTTTCTAGATTACAATGCACTGTACATGATCAACACTAGCTGGCTAGTTAACTCTGCATTTCTCTCTTTCTTTCTCTGAATAGTAGCTCCATAAATCATCAAAAATAAAGTTTACCCAATGTGTGTTTACATTCCCTGCTCCGCTATATAATGCTTTCTCTCTCTCTCTCAGTGATAAACCTTTAGGACATGCGATGCGATGAAAAACAGTCAGTTATTCTCATAATATCTCATAGTAGCTGAGTAGGAGGGACACTGCCACCACACTCCATTCGGACGCTTCATCAAAGTGCTGCTGTCAAAACACACATGTACACATGACTGTGGACAAACAACATTGTTTCAGGCCGTACACACACTCACACACACAGCATACACTGGCTGCTCACATGCACACAGACATATATTGTTCCTGAGTATGAATTGTAGGATATTTCTTTAGGAAAGAAATAACATGTCCACTAATCTACTGTCAGAAAGTAAAGTTTGCTGTTTTAATCGGAACAGCAGTGCTCTGAAATACATGTATGGGCTTAAGAAAGGCACACCGCCTTTAAGGTTTTTAACAGAAAAACCCAAAGAACCATGTGCTGCTGTGAACTACATACATACTATAGATCTAAGGCCATAGATTCTGTAATGAAAGCAAGCTCACTGCAATAATAAGAGAGCCACAGAGCTGTTCAGCATCGTTCAGTTTAATATTGTGCAGTTGTGGCCTGCAACATACTCTCTACACTCTTACTGGCAGCTGATTTCAGTTAGCTTGTACTCGTCCGGCACCAAACAGCAGACAAGCATCTCAGCAACTAGCTGGTGATGCAGAGATTAGCAAGCGCCAGATATACTCTTCAGGAAGTGGTTACAAAAAAAAGCTAAAAAGTATGATAAAGTGGACTTAACGTCTTCCTGGCTGTCTGAAAAACACCCCAAATGAATGTTGCTCTGTGTCTTCCGGGTGCCTCATTAGTTAATGCAGTTAGCCAGCTATGTTTTGCATTGCAGTATTAGGGCTCAATCCACACAGGAATTAGCTGAAACTTGAATTATCTCTGTTTGTATGGATCTGAAACACTGTACACAGCAGCCACAGCTAACGACAGATGTAATTTAGTGAAGCACGCAATCGCTGAAAGTATGAGACTAAAACTCAAGGTCAAGGTATTGAGGCAAAGTCAACAAAGGAACTTTACCAGAGGAATGCATCTATGTGCAGCTGCCGTCACCTTATCTTGTGAGTGGCGTGGAAAACGCGAGTCAGTACTGAGGACAGACTGAGTGGTTTACATTCAGGCCTTATCAGTCTTGATTTACAGGTTAACAACTGAGCTCATAGCTTCCAGCAACATGTACGCTTTAATCCTGTGGTCTGTTTAACAGACATGGAAAAAAAAATCACACACACAGAGACCAACGCTCAGGCACAAACAGTCAGTGACGCACACACACATACACAGACAAGGCCACCTGCAGTAGCATATGGATTTGTAACGGCATGAAAAAAAACAACAACTAAAACTCAGAGTTTATCGTTGTTATGACTGAGCGTTCTCATCAAAACATCAGAAGGTCTCTCTTCGACTCCCTTGCACCACAACACACCAAATTAACAGTGAATCACAACCAAACTTTCTAAACACTGACGTCAGGGTTTGTGCTTGCTCTTGTTAAATGGTTAACTGACCTGCATCCACCATGTTTAAAGTCCATCTCCAACGGAGAGCCAGCTTATGATATGTGACACGCAAACCTAATGACTCTCAGATGTGTGCCAGCCATTCGTACTCAACATTCACTCTGCATTCATTTTTGCTTTCAGCATTGATTGCACTGATCTTGTGTGTGATACCACTTATGAAGGTACTCCGCTGTCCTTAATTATATGTATCAGACTTGTATGAAAGAAAAGAAAACATGTAAATACTGCGTAAACTTAGTCTTATATTACAGTAGTCTGGATAGAGAGAAACAAGAAGGAGGTTGGGGGTGGGGACTAAACACAACGCATCTTGCAGGTGTTTAAAATTCTCTCAACAGTCTACTCTTTTGTTCAAGCATCTTTCACTCCCTGTACGTGAATGGCCCTCTATGCTGATTTTGACCTCGTGAGGAAGGAAGGAAGGTTTGGGCAGAGTCACGGGAGGCTCGTCCTCAGCTCTCTCAGTCTGGTCTCGCTCCGGTGCTGACCAGCGTCTCTTGCGGACTGCAGGTCTCTCTGTCTCACTGCATTGTTGTTTAGACAGAGTAGACATGTCTGTTTTCACTGATTCCTGTCTTATGTCTCCAGTCCCAGAGATTGCCAGCACAGGTCCAGCTCTGTAGATCCCTTCTGCCTGTCCTGGAAGTATTCCCAATCCTGCTGGTAGCTCTACTCCTGGTCCCGGACCAGTGGCCTGCTGCCTCTCCAGTCTGTCTCCATTGGAAGCCTTCATGAGAAGACCGTTGTTACTGCCCACAGAGTTTGCACTCATACTGTTCCTTAGATTGGGATCCATGTTGTGACAGGAGTCAGAGAGGTGGCCAGGCTTTAGCTTTTTCCCCAAAGCTGAGCTGTCTGTTAGAGAACCATTCCTCATGCCACGGAGGGTCAGAGACACACACACATCCCCCACACAGAGCTTAGCACAGGACAGCTCAAACAACTGTGTGGTCCGGTCAGGGCAGCACGATGACCAGCCCTGGCCAAAGACAAAGAAAGGATACTCCACCAGCACCTCCACACACACCTGGACAGGAGAACAAGCACAACAGAGTCAGTCAAATTTCTGCAAAAGACACACAGAAAACCTTTAACCATCTATGCATCCACCTCAATGATCCATCTATATTCTGGACTGCTTATCCAACTTAAAGTTGCAAGGGGACTGGAGTCTATTTTTTCTGTCCTGGAGTGAGAGGTGGGACATACCTCGGACAGGTCGCTAGTCCACCACAGGAAAACAAAAACCATCGTAAGCCAAATACATACAGCATGTTAATAATAAAAGAAAAGTAGAAAAAACACCAAAAAAATAGTTTAAAGTGGGTGGATTCTATTTTTGCTTCAGTGTCAGGGTCCCCGTAAGGTGGATGGTAGCTCACTGTCAAACTGTCACTGCTTACTGGGCCAGCTGGATTGAAGTGAGCCCTGAGAGCAGCAAATAATTCACTTAAGAAAGAGACAAAGGCAAAAGAAATTGGGGGAAAAAATTGAGTCATAGGGACCTGGAGTTGAAATGCTTACCTTACAATTAAAAAAAACAATTAAAAAACAACTGAAAAACGAATGCTTGATTGCCTAAGTCAACGGCATTGGTAGATTTGCACCGGTAATGAAACATGACAAAGTTGTGTTTAGTGTGTGTTAATGATGCATAAACATCAGCTGTTCACTCTATAATATATTTAACATAAATCCATACTTAATGAACAACTAAAAAGAGTACAGTGATGCCACATCTACTGTATGATTCGCTTGTCTGCTTTTTTTTTTTCCTTTCCCTTCTTCCCACAGCCAGTCGAGGCAGATGGCAGGCCCTCCATGAGGAGGGGAGTTTTTCGTCCCCACTGTACCCAAGTGCTTGCTCACAGATCTAAAGCACCTTTGAGGTGACTGTTGTTGTGATTTGGCACAATATAAATAAAACTGAACTGAATTGACTGAAATAAAAAGTGTTTGTTTGTTTTTTTAAAGTGTCAAAATCTGAGCAGCAGTGACATTTTTCAATATAATGTATTTTAATATATACACACACACACATATATATATATATATATATATATATATATATATATATATATATATATATATATATATATATATATACATATATATATATATATATAAATCCATGCTCAAGTGGAATATATATGTTAGATTTTATTTATTTATTTTAGCTGTGGTGTCGTTTGTTGACCTTAATACTCTAGAGTCAGTCAGGCTGAAGTCCATATGGCTTTTAAAACAACTGTAACATGCCCAGATTCACCCATCTATAAAAGTAATGACTTTTAGCCTTTCAAATATAGTGCTGTGTTGTGTAAAATCTATTTTTAGCATCTGTTCTAAAACAGCGAGTTAGAGGTTTGGAAAATAAAGATGCGCAGCATGAAGAGTGTTTTTAATTTAAATTTAATTCATTTCTAAATTATGGATGAATTTTGAAACACTGCAGCTTAAAGTACTTTGCTGCTTTAAGCAAAAGTGGATTGTTACAGAAATGCTGTCAACGATTTCATGATTTCATTGTTTGGAAGCAATACAGATTTTTGCTGCCAATGTATCTTTTGAGATTTTCACCAGGGGGTGCCAAAGACTAGAGATTGCAAAGACTCTTAAAAAATAAACAATAAAATGAATGTGACATCATTTACCTGGGCTTTGAGCTCTCCTACAGAAAACTGTATAACCACAGCATTAGGACTTTGACCATTGTCAATACGCTCCACGGTGCTGGAGTCAATCTTGAGCTCGCTGCTAATCTCAGCGCTTTGGATGAAGTCCTCTGTCTTGAGGTCCTCCACACGCTTCAGCTCTCCATCGGCCAGCTGGATGATGGAGCCCCGCATGAAGAAAGGAGGAAGCGCCACAGGAGAGGCGGAAGCGGAAACCGAGGGGGAGGCCTGGATGGCAGCAGGGACAGAAGCGGGAACCGGAGTGGGAGTCGGGGAGGGAGTAGCCACCACTGCAGGAATCGGGTTTGAAGGCAGTACTGACAATGCTGGAGCCTGAGCAACTGCGTTGGGTGGTTGATTTCCATCTGGCCCTAGTGCCTCACACTTGGACAGGGCTGTGGCCAGATAGGCATGAGGCATGGCGGTGGATATCTGAGGGGTAGTAGTGGAGGTGAGGGCACTTACAGTACGACTAACCTCCATTTCTGTGCAGTTATTGGAACTGCTGACTGGAATGAGAAGGGACTGACCACTCGGGATGACCAGGTGCGGAGGCAGTGCTGCGTGGTAGCTGACAGTATGCTGGTTTGCACTTGTGATATAGCCAATGATCGGTGCCTGTGTGGAAGAGTAGAGACTGGCTGGCATCTCGTCAGGGGGTAGAGTGGTCTGGATGACAGTATGTGGAGCAACAGACTTCACCACTTCTGACGAAGAAAAGGAGGCAAAAGACGAAGGTCTGGACACTGGCTTTCCCAAGCAAATCCCTCCTTTCTCAGTCTGGACTAAAGAGATCTTATTTGAGCCAGTTTCGTGCTCAACTCCATGGTTGGGCTGGGCCACAAGCACCAAAGAGGTCTGGAGTCCTGCAGGGTTTTGGCCATAGTCAGCAGGTAGGAGGATATGTCTGGCCTCATAACTCTGCACCTGCTGATGGTTTGCTGGCTGACTAGTGGCTTTTGCCTGTTTGGCTGCTTCCACTTCCCCATTCAGCACAGCCTTAGCGTGCCCTTCTGGTTTCTTTCCAGCAGAACCATCTGCATACTGGACCACGAGCTGGGAAGGAGCAAGCGTAAGCGTCTGGGGGAGGACGGCTGTGTGAGGGTGGAGCTGAAGTTGGGCCGTAGGTGAGGCGACGGCATTTCCGCTGACAGTCAGAGGTGCTCTGCTGTCCAGATGGATGTACTGGCTGGTGACTTGAGGAGAGCTTGGGAGTGACACGGGGGCCAGTTCAGTGGGGGAGAGGCCTATTTGAAACTGCTGCTCCCCTTTGGTGTTGGGCGAGATAAGGGCAGTGGTGTAACCATCCAGCTGGGGACGCTGTCCGACTATGGTCGAGCTGTTTTGCACAGTATTAGCATTTGTTGAAATAATATGAGAGGATATGTATCCTGCATAGGGCCCAGAGCTGATGAACTGAACATTGGGTCCCAGTTGAGCAAACTGGATTGTTCCAGCTTGCTGGGGTAGGGCTGCGGGGTAAACTGCAGGCAGAGAGGCCAAGGGTAGGGCAGATATAGGTGTGGCTGAAGAAGGAATAGAAGTAGAGGGAGAAGAGGAGGAAGCAGAGGAGATGGGACATCTAGGGCTATCTACTTCCCTGGATTTGCAGCGTTCACTGGCTACACTGGCCAGCCATGCTAGGTTTTCTGTGTGGGGACTATCAGACGCAACTGCAGCAGGTGGTGTTGCTGTTGCTACTACCACTGGCCTCTGCTCCATAGCCAGGATCTCACGCTTCTTAGGAGGAAGGCATCCATTGCTTCGCTCTTGGTTAGATTTCATTGTGCCGCTGCAGTTTTAATATTCCCTGGCACTGCTTCTAGGTCCCTCTGAGGCTACTTTCTCTCTATCTCACCTCCCCTCAGTGGTTATATGCAGGGCCAGCCTCTCTGGGCTTGGTGACTCTGCCTCTGTTGTTTGTTTTCACTGTTCAGGGTCTCACACCGGAGAAGACGGAGCCATTCCTGCTCACAAAATGAGCCCCAAAGACTTCATGAGGAATCATCTCTGATCGAGCCGCCTCTTCCACAATGTCAATGGGAATCTGAAGGCAGAGAGAAGCTAACGTCAGCATTTGTGCTAAACAAATAAACTGAAATTAGAATTAAATCTCATTCGTCTAATGGCACTGTAGAAATATCCCAGTCTGCTCAGGCAGCGATTATTAAACATATTTTCAAAATGCTCTGCAGAGGTGGAAACAAGAAAAACAAAACCACTACCCCCTTGCTTCCATGTTTGTGAAGCTGCTGCTCCATGTTTTGCCACTAGGTGGTAGCTGGTGTAAGCATTGCAGGGAATTCGTGTCGGTCTATGTGCTTGAACACAACACGTAGTGCAGTCTGTGTAGGCTACATGACGCTCTGTGAGTAGACTCCAAATACTATCTGCAAGGATCTACAAAGACTCGTCAGTCATAGTTCAACCCTCAGCCTGCCTTTCCACGAGCAATACACAGGAAAATACAGTGCAATGCTGTGTGTCACCATTTGCATAATGTGGAAAGGGTTTCTCATGTTTTCACCAGGCAGGAGTTTTCAGAACTGCCGTGTTTTCGTGTCTGTGTGCAGTCTCATGTGCACTGCTATTGGCTGTTATCTTGCTCCAGGGTCTAGTGTAAGAAAGCAGGGCAGAGTGAAGGGATAGCAGCACACAGAGAAACAGCCCCAGAGGACCATATGTTTTTGTCTTTACTTTAAGAGTCTAAGACCTTGGCATCATGAGTACTTTAGAAAATGAAGCAAAAACAATATGCACACAAGATTTCAACAATTTGAAAACTGATTGTATTACATTCTGCAAGATCCTTGATTTTTTTTTTTCATCTATACCTTATTTATAAAGGGTATCAAAGTTCAATGTAATACAGGACGGAAAGCAAACAATGAATGAGTTTGGTAACAGCCCGGTTTAGCAAGAGGCAGAGTGAAAGCTGAGTTAAATGAGAAGTGAAACAATGTGTTTATTCACAGGAATAGGGAGGAAAGTTTGATGTGTAGGGGGTCGGTTAGTTAGTAGCTAGTGGAAGGTTCAGTTTAGATTCAGGCATCTGTACTCGCAGATATGATATCTGTAAAACATGCACATAGAGGGAAATGCAAATTCCATAAATTCAAACCACAATAACATGCAGTATTTTGGCTCATATTCTGTGTTTCTTTTATTTCTTTTACTGAGAGATAGTTTTTTTTTCTTCAGGCTTATCTCTGGGTCAATGCACAAGACTCTGAGTTGTTTATTAGCCAGAGGAATGACTGAAATGGACTATATGACACACACATCCATCCATCCATTCGTTTTCTCTTCCTCCATTCCTTTCATAGAAGCTCCACTATTGGAAAATGCTAAAGTGTATTTTCATCTTACGGCCGAGGTTTACTACAGCAGGCAACCACAGACATGTTACATAAAAACAGAAGGAAGAAAAAAAGGGGGGGAAAATGCACAGAAGACGATCTTGGTCCCTTTTTTACTCAAACACATCTACCCCTGACACCAGCTTTGGCAAGGTCACTGTCTCGAAAAGCAGCAACAACCCCTGTGCAATTTATCTAGCCTTGCAGACAAGTAGAGCCACCAGATGTAACAAAGGGGGGGGGAAACAGCAGAGATAGAAACAGAAGCAGAAAAAGAAAGAAGGAGAATGAGGGGGAGGAGAAGGAGAAATGCAAAGCAAAACGACAGGATGTGGAAGGAGGCGAGGGAGCGAGAGGAGAGACAAAAGAAGATTAGGAATTGGGAAGAAGGAGGAATAATAGGGAATGAGAAGGAGACAGAGAACGCTGCTTCTCCTGACCCACATTGAGCAGCGCCTGCAGCATCAGAGCGCCATTGCCCCCGCCTCGCTGAGAGATCCCCCATCGGCGGCGCAGCCGCCGCTATAGTCTGAGAGACACTGTGCGGCATCGCTCGGCGGCAACAACCCCACCTCAGCAACACCGTGTCAACACCGTAATGACATCACATCTGAAGCACAAGGACCTCCTATCATCACAGCAGCACTGGAAGACAAAGCCAGCACGCTTTGATTCTCAAACGCCACAAAAACGCAGCATCAGTGTCAACAGACTAAAACAGGAAGCTGTCTCTCCTTTCCTGGACACAGTACTCGCTATACACAGTTACACATACACACACGCGCATACGGCTCAGCAGCCAAAACCTCTCTAGATTTTCCACCGTCAGCCTATTATTAGAACACTGACACCAACAAACATAAGGCCTACGCGATACTATGGAGAACAAAGGCGAGCTTTCAAGATATGAGTGTCACACCGAGCCACGCAGCACGGGATCCCCGAGTCAGTCTCCCGGACCGGGACGGACACCTTTAAGACATGCATGGAGGGATGACAACAGAGGGAGAGAGAGAGGGTGGACAGAACTGTCTCTGTTCCACTCATCACACTGATGCTTTTCAGCTCAGACTGAGTGATGGAGCCACCCTTTCCCTTTTTTTCATACTCCCACACACACTCACAAAAAGCTACATAAACCACAGAAATAGGTTTGTGCAGCGGTGTGTGTCCGGATGAGGTGATTTCATTCAGCCTCTTCTGTGTGCTGTCTCCAGGTGAGAGGCCCCCCCGAGCAGACTTACATCTCTCTTATGCAGCAGTTGCCAGCTCTTCCAGTCCCCCCGCCTCTTAACTTCCTCCGCCAGAGCTCCGAGTCTTCTCCTAGACCTACTATTTACTCCTTGCATTGATCACAGCTTCATAGCAGCAGCATTACTCTGGAGTCAGATTATGCAGAGAGGCACTGACATTATTTGATGACAATATCTTTTAGATCTAGGCAAATATTTACACAGAAAGCTAGTGCAATGACCCCGGGGTGATGAACCTGTTGTCAAGACTATACATCATGGCTCACCTGCTAGAGCAGACACAGACAGTTAGTGAATACCCTGCACAGCAAATGGCTATATATAGAAAACAAAAACATCATTATCAATCTGAGCTCTGGCATGAAACAGAAAGGGGAGGTATTGTGGAAGACAATGTGTGCCTCGGTTTTATGATTTGCTGCACGCAAATAGGACCTCACTTCACCTACTGCTGCTTCAAGCACAGGGGAAAAAAATCAATACAGCGTACTGCTTTTTCTAATATTCAAAAGAGCCATTTTACTGTCCGCTTCTCTGTACAACAGTGCCGCCTGTGCCTTTAAGAGGCGGACTTAACTGTGTGGCAGACTAAAGCAGACAGTAAGAACAGGCACTGGGGTTCAGGCTGTTTGTCTTCACAATGACTCCAGAGTTCTGCATCACGGCTTGACACACAGCAGACGGTTCATGCATACATGCGTCCCCTTCTCAGCGAGAACCCCTGCAAACGAGCGTGGTCACTGCTGTTCAGTCCCAGCGGCTGGTTGTGACTGTGGTCAGATCAGTGGGACTGATGCTGTGGCTGTAGCTGTAGCCTCTGGGGGGCTTAAGGATGACAGTGAGAGCGCATGAGTGTAGTAGCAGGGCAGAAAATACTACTATGCCACAAATCAAGAAGAAAAGAGAGACCCCCCCCCCCCTCCTCCTCCTCTCCTCTGTTTAAAGTACTAAGAATAGCTCACCAGTCTCACCACAGCCACTGCTTGCAGAGCATGTCCGAGGATTCTTCCTGCCTGTCAGCGCGTGTGCGTCTGTGTTAGAGACGTGTTTCCTAGTAGCACTCCTCTTCCCGTTTCTCTCCTTTGTGCTGCTCTCCTCTCCTGGAGCCTGTGCTGTAAAGCTGCTCCTGTTCTGCCTCCTTCTCGTTCCCCCTCTCTCTCTGTCTCTGCCTCTGAATTCCGGTTTTTGGAGGGTATGCTGCCCCTGCAACGAGCTGACGGTAAAGGAAGTTCCCCACTTCTAGAGCTCACACCAAGACCTACGTGCAAGGCTGCTCTAACGTGTGTTATGCAAGGCCACCAGACCGCCAGCTCCCTCTCTGCTTGGTTGCTTCTCTCTCTCTCTCGCTTTCTCTCTCTCTCACTCAGTGTGTGTTTCTGCCTCTCTCCCTCTCCCTCTCCCTCCCTCCTCTTTCTTTCTCTCGCAGTACTCCACTGACACAGCTCCTCCCCCAGCCAGCCTCATCAGCCGCATCAGGTATTCATTCAAAAAAACACACTCTACTTGGCTCAGCGCCCAGACTACGCTCACACAGAGAGAGAGCGAGAGCAGGGAGGGGGAGGGCGCAACAGACGGAGGGCGAGGGAGGGAGAGCTGGAGATTCAGAAAGGGTTTGCACAGGCAGATACTGCATGGATGAGAACAACCGTGGGATATTAATGTTGCAAACATACATGCAGACACACACAAGCCAGGGGAGGATTGTGGTGCTCAGTACACTAAAGCTTTGTTAATGCTCCGCCTTGCACTTTTTCATTTTCATATGCATTTTTCCTCTTGTAGAGCCAAATCTCCTAATCTGCCCTATGAGCTGGTCTACAGTTTACTTTCTCAGCCTTTATTCAGCTGCAAAATGGCTCAGAGTACACCCACCATAGGTCTCCCCAGGACTCCCCAAAGATATTTCCCTTGGTGCAGGCAGGGAGGGCCAGTTGGCACCGGGGCCCTCCTCAAGGCTTCCTGCATATCCTGTGCAGTTCACAACAGAAAGACAAGGAGGCACTCAGCACCAGACCAGCCAGCTTCCTGGGCCTCTGTAGGTGAGGCAAGCAGGGGAGGCTCTTAGAGGATGCTGAATGAGGGGGAAAAAACAGGCTATAGAATACAGCAAATCATTTCTACTGCATCAATAAGCCCAGTATTACACAGGCAAAATCACAAATATATATATATATTATGTTATAGTTAGGGCTGGATCAGGTGACCCTGAATTCTCCCTTACTTAGCCTGCAATAGGCCTTGGCCTGCAAGGGCTTCCTATGATACACTGAGTGTCTCTTCTTCACTCACGTTTTTTCGCACATTGTGTTTTTACACACCACTCTTTCATCATTAGTTATTACTCATCTCTGGCTCTCTTCCACAGTGTATCTTCTCTCCTCTCTTCTTCCCCTTATACAGATAAGATAAGATAAGATAAGATAAGATAAGATAAGATAAGATAAGATAAGATAAGATAAGATAAGATAAGATAAGATAAGATAGAACTTTATTAATCCCTCGGGTGGGTTCCTCTGGGAAATTCGTTTTCCAAAAGCACAGCACCGACAGAAGTTACAGTTACAGACAGAATATTATATACACACACACACACACACACACACACACACACACACACACACACACACACACACATATATAAATACAGAGACAAATATAAATAAAATATACGAAGGGAATTGCACATTTCAAGTATTGAGTCTATTGCACCATTGACTATTTACAAAAAGTATTGCACAAGGTATTGCACAGTGAGGTGAAGAGGCACTACAGCTTTGTTGTTTCCCCCTCCTTTGTCCTCCTGTTTCCCCTCCCTCTCCCCTCCAGAGAGGAGTTAAACAGTTTGATGGCGTGTGGGACAAAGGAGTTTTTAAGTCTGTTAGTTCTTGTCTTGGGGAGAAGCAACCTGTCACTGAACAGACTCTTCTGGTTGTTAATGGCCGTGTGCAGAGGATGCCCAGCATTGTTCATAATGTCCAGCAGTTTTTTTAGTGTCCTTTTCTCTGCCAGTGTCACCAGAGTGTCCAGCTTCATGCCGACCACAGAGCTAGCCTTCCTGATCAGTTTCTCCAGCCTGCATGAGTCCTTCTTATATAGAACTTATACAGAACCAATGGTGGCAGATGGCTGCCCCTCTCTGAGCCCAATTCTGCTGGAGGTTTCTTCCTGTTAAAAGGGAGTTTTTTTCTTCCCACTGTCACCAAGTGCTTCCTCATAGGGCGTCACTTGATTGTAGGTCAGGAGTTCAAATCCTAACCAGGGCTTGTGGCATCTGGCAAGGCCCCCCAAGTCTACCTCGGTACAATCAAGAAGAATATGACTGAACACAGCTGCACGTGTTAAGGAACCAGGACATTCTGATGAGAAGTGAGCTAGTGGAACAAGAAGGCATCACAACCGATGAGAATAGGGAACTGTTGGAATGCTACTGCAAATGTAATCCCAGTGTTACAGATATTTGCAATCCCAGTGTTGCAGGAAAAGGATGTGGGACCTATGAATATATATATGTATAAAGTTGTAATTTTTGTGTTGCATGGGTGAAACCATAAATGCATACTTTTCCATGTAGACATTAAACCCTAATATATTGCCAGAAGCTTCAGCGAGCTGGAAGACAGAGATACAAATGACCACAGGCATGCAGAAGCACATGCCAAATGTACAAACTGAAGCTGTGTTTTTCCAGCTGTTGAACCTGAGAGAAAAAGAAAATAAACTTGCAGTGTGTCTTTCTTGCCAAAGGGGTACAGCCTCATCTTCCTACAATGACTGATATTACTACCAAGACGCTGCCAAGCCAATGTAAACCTCAGGACCAACACTATCCCCACAGAAAGGGAACCGAAACCGCTGTGAAACAAGCATCAACAACAAACAGAGGTTTGCACTGCCATAAAATGGCTCACTGTAAACTGAAGGTCAGAATTAATGTCAGACAAGTGATCTGACACGCTGCCTTCCGAGAATTCACAAATCCAGCTTAAGTTGCATGGGGTGAAATAAATGTGCAGTGTATAGAGGAGATCACATCAAGCGTGAAGTCGCATAAAGACAGAGCTTTCAAATGTGTCTGGCTGTTTGTATCTCGATCAAAGGCTTCCTTGCATTAGTATGTCGGGAAAGCTTTCACCACAGATCAGAATATTGAGTCCCTGTTGACATCTTCACAGACACTGAATAATATCGGATGCTGATTATTGTGGTCCAACCCGATATGTTTGTTTTGCTAGCCTAGCTGCACAGTCTAAGCAACATTTCTCAGTATGGTGCACACATAATGAGAGTGAGTGCATGAAACCAAATGTTTACACTGTAGTAGTGCAGTAGCGACAGTACTAGTCCTGGAGTACTTGCACTAGTAATAGATAGTGATTTTAGCAGCAGCATATCATCGTTCTAACAAAATAAACAACGTACCCTTTCATTTGTAAACACACACATGTTCCTATACACTGAGTCTACGCTCTCTCCTACTCACGCACTCAGTAGTTTTCAGCGAGGGAAAAAAAACCGTGAAAACTCAAGTGGGTTCCACTTGCTGTGGGCAATAACGCTGTATGACCTTCACTCCAAAGCCAAACATGTCCAAGTACCAATTTAAGTTCTGGGGCAACTCTTTCAAGGTTGAGCTTTAAATGTAAAGAGATGCATCATATTAGGCCTACCTTGAACCTGGTGGGTGTCGAAGAAACAATTATCCAAGCATCATTACCCGCATTCTGTCCTGCATCCACACCACTTACCGGGCATAAGTGAGCATCCACTACTGCGGAAGGCATGTCCAGACATGCAAAAGCGCTTCTACTACACACAACTAAGGGGAAGCCTGCACGATGCAAATGGTCACATGATTTGGGAAACGAAATGTTTGTTTGTTTGTTTGTTTGTTTGTTTGTTTGTTTGTTTGTTTGTTTTTCCATAGTGAGTTGTTTTTGTAGCCATTAGGTCATTTATCGTTTCTCAAAATGTTCCCCAGAACATCTGTCCAAAGCAGGTATAGGTGTTCCACACAATAAGTCACACTCAGATAAACCAGAGAGCTAAAACAGCACTGACATAATGCAATAAATATTTAGCCAAAAATCCCCCATCAAAAAATTATGAATTATGAAATTATACAGTTTTATTTATATAGCGTCGACTTACAACATCATCTTGCTTTATACAGCAAGGTAAAAGACACATAAAAAATGTTAGAGGGAAAATAATCATAAAATCCCCTATGAGCAAGCACTTAGTGATCGTGGGAAGGGAAAACTCCCTTTTGACAGGAAGTATAACCTCTGGTAGAGCCAGCATCGGGGGGAAGGCAGCTAGACATCTGCCGGGACCGGTTAGGGAGAAAAAAAGGACGGCTTGGTGAAACGGGGACAGAACACAAACATGAGAGAGAAGACAAAACTTTATAGCAAGCAGTAGTAAATTATGTGGGTGGTGAAAAGAGAGGGTGGAGAAGAAAGGGTCAGTGCATCATGGAAAGTCCCCAGCAGTCTGAGCTGATTGCAGCATAACTAAACTACAGTTCGGGGTCATGACATCCAGTCCTGACTCATCAAAAAGCAAAGTTTTAAACCTAATCTTACAAATAGAGATGTTGTCTGTCTCCCCAGTGTAAACTGGGAGCTGGTTGCACAGAAAAGGTGCATGAAAGCTGAAAGATCTGCCCCCCATTCTACTTTCAGAAACTCGAGAAACCACAGTTAAGTCAGCAGTGTGAGAGTGAAGTGCTCTATTGGGATTCAATGCTATTTATGTGAGAAGAAAGATTTTAAATTCAAGTAGTCATTTTTTTAAAGGGTGCAAATAAAGAGAAGCCAATATGGGAGAAATATGATCTGTCTTTGTAGCCCCGGTCAGTACTCTCACTGCAACATTTTTTTACCATCTGCAGGCTTTTTTTCAGGGAACTTTTAGAAAAACATTATAGAAAGAATGTATAATAGGCCAGCCTAGAAGAAACAAATATATGAATCAGCTGTCTGAAAAAGTAGTCTTATCAAAAACGCCACCTGTACAGGGGAACAGAGTGGGGTGGAAAGTGTCACATTAATAATAAGATGAAGTAGCATGCAAAATTAAATAAAAATACAATACTTCTGAATGGTAATTGGGTTACTTTCTTTTCAGCACTCGTTAGACACTCTATGCTTGTAATAAACCCCCTATTACTGTGTTATAAGGAGGTTTGCAAAAAAACCAATATTTTGTTTTACCTATATGTTCTATGCCAGCCTTTTATAATTTTTTTGTCAGCATTTTAAGGCTTCATTAGTTTTACATGAAAATGTTGGCTTTAAACATGCACATGTCCCC